AGAGATGAACACACATACGCAACCTCAAACAGAGATTACAATCCACAACAAGAAGCCAACCCAGTGGTTTTTAGCCTTCCATTAAATCAAAATGCAGTACAGAAACGAAAATGCAAGGAGAAGAACGAAAACAAAATTGCAAGGCAGAGAATGAGAATGAGAACGAAAGTAATCTGTATTTAAACGTAAATGGAGTCTCACATTACAACCAGTAAAACTTAAAGGAAGCAGAACAGGAAGCAAAACGTGAATAACAATGGAGTTTTTGAGCAGAGAAAGAAAAACAAAACGTTTTTGCACCTCCAGAGACCAAAACCTTTTGATCCTTATGTGCATGTTTGTTGGATGTTGATTTTAGAGGCTTGCCAAGTCTATCTGTTGCTTGTTTTCATGAGTGCTTTGAGAGTATAGAGTTGCCTAGACACTTGAGAGATACAGTGATACAGTGCATCTAGTGAGGCTCTGTTGCTTTTGATTCACCTCTTGAGCTGATTGATTGTTTTGCAATGTTTTGAAATGCTTGGATGATTTCCATAAGTATCTGGTTCCTCTGACTCTTTTTGTGTTGGATGATGTCTACTCATTTTCTTTTCCTAGGATTCATTGAGGATTGTGTAAATCTGTTTGTTTTCTTGTGTGTATTCTTGTTTTTCTTTCTTCATGTTGTGTCACTCTCTTTGTTGTCTTTGGAATTGTTCCTTGCTCTGCTTTTTGATTTTGCCCAGGAGTGCAAAAGGCTAAGTGTGGGGGAATTTGATGAGTCATTATTTTCCCTTACTTTCTTACCTTTCTGTACTTATTTTAATCTCTGATTTGTGCTTAATTGTTTATATTTTCCTATCACTACTACAAGACATGTTATTTACATCGGTTCTTTAACACTATCTACATCGGTTCTAAAACCGATGTAGAATAGAGTGACGTATTAAATGTATACCATTTTACATCGGTTCTGTGTATAACCGATGTAAAAATGTACACAAATTTACATCGGTTATATACAAAACCGATGTAAAATTATACTCTCATTTACATTTGTTCTTATTACAACCGATGTAGATTATTAATTTTTTTTAAAAAAAATTTGTTTGATTTTAGGTTCTTTCTAATTTAACCTGTAATAAACACATAATTCTCTGCCATATTTTTGAAAATGTGCATGAAATTAAAAGATTAAACAAAACCCACAAACAAATCAAAATAGACAAAAAGAACAAATTGACTTACACAAAAAATACACATGCATTCATCTTTTCCCATACCCCTAATTAAGCCATAGGATTTCTTTTGTAGTAAGTAAAAAAGAAAGCAACACAAGCTACCACTTTCAAGGGCAAAGTGTATATTAACTCCATATTTTTTGTTTTGTTAACCATAGTGTGAATGGTATCTTCCTGCACCTAGAAGTGGTAATGAGCAGTATTCAGATTAGATTTCTATATAGGGGAAGGGCAAGACAAATTCTTTGTTTTGCTATGGCTTGGTATATATATTAATGTTTTGAAGATTTACCTATTTATGGTTCGATTAAAGGAAAAATCTTTAGATTTCTGTATACGAAAGTTTATGCAAATTTTATACTTGAATAATAATTGAAGCTTTAATAATGTGGAGAAATAGAAGGAGAAAATGACAATAAGCCTTTACCTGAAACATAATTCCTATAAAAGCCCACCAATATTGTCAATTCAAACAATCAATTGACAGCCGTCTTCACAAAGTCTTTAAGGAGTCCTGGAATTGATTATATTTGAAACTAGCTCAGTGAATATACTTTATATGCTCTAGCTCGAGGGGACCATTAGATATTGTAGATATCTTATATTCTGGTTAAAGCCAATTATTGAATATTGCTAGATATCCTTAATTATGGAAATTAGGAAATTCTAGGATTTACATAATTATGGTAATTAGACAATTATTCTCTGTTATTATTACCCATGCTTTGTGTACATTATCACACAGATTCAATCATGTCACTTGCTTGTTCGTATTCCATATGGATATGCAAGCTCCAACTATCCAAGCCAACCGAAAAGTATTTTTTTAATTAAATACCTAATAAAGAGTGACTGACGTGTCTGTCAAAAACACATCCAAGACTCTGTCTGACACCTCACTGTAAGAGAAATGTCCCTGCTTCATAGATGCAAATTTCTCCCCAACCTGATTAGCCAATATAGATGTTGTGGTCTGTGGAACTTGGTTATGCATTGCCCAACCCCCATAATCATGTTTTCCTCTTTTTTATGATGTTTGATTTTCATACGTGAAAGTGGGTTTGAAGTTCAAATGAAATAAAAATATAACATTGAAGCTTATGTGGTGAACAAATGCCCTATTTTTTTGCATGTCATTTACTTTTCAATAGAGAAATCTAACCATAAACTATTTCACTTCAAACCAACTTTTAATTAAAATTAGTTTTGCAAAATAAAGATTAAATTCAACTTTATAAACGTTTACTCAATGACAAATTATAACAAACTACCAAAAGGGAGAGAGGACAATTGGGGAGAGAGGAACAGAGATGAACCACACACCTCATGAAACACCGCAAAGACCAGGAAGGCAATTAATGCAGAAGCACCCTGTACATGACAAAAATCACAATCACAAACACAACTAAAAAGAGAAAGATGAAAACAAAGAATAACATTAATATATACTAAAATCTAGAATATACTATGTTAAGCTACTAGAGTAATTCAAACAAATAACTCGGCTAGAAATGATGAATATATAAAAATATAACAGCACTTCAAATCTAGAATTTGTAGTAAGAAACAATAACAGTTACAATAGTCCTTATACAAGTGTCACTTCAAAACTGGTTAATAACAAGATTATCATAGCAACCAATTATCTGACAACCCAAGTATAATCTAACAAATAAAATCTGCAATTACAATTAATTTCGCAAGAGAAGCTTAATCACATAATAAAGGTTGTTATCCCCATACACTAGCAAGAATCAGATCTAATAAAAATGTTATCTAGCAAAGCCCTGATTCTTTAATTTATTTTCGTTAAAACTTAAACAATCTGCATTTGATGTATCCATTTCCAGTTAATATCACCAAACTGTACACATTTTTCTAAAGCAGAAAAAAATTTAAATAAAAATTAGTAGGTGATATCTAATATCAATACATGCAATGCCAGAATAATGATTCCAGTTAATCTCTTCACATAATAATGATTCCATCCTTTACAAAATGATAAAACTCATGAAAAGAAAATACATGTAACTATAACATAAAGTAATCATGCAATCATAGATGATTTTATTAAATATGATGAGATTGATAGACAGGACATTAAAACCAGAAATATTACCTATGTTACTCCATTATTTGCACAGAATTATATTTTGGTAGCAGGGGCACCTATTTGCTAGATATAGCATTCCAAAGAAAAATAATTAGGTAAGTAAATCAAAGAAAAAGGACATTCAATCAGCGTGAAGTTATTAAAAAAAGGACACTTAATTACAATAATAGATTGTCTTTATTAAGATAAAATTATATCTAAACACACCTTTTACATCTTTTTAAATGCAAGTAGTTGGTAATAACACAAGCATCATTAACTTGCCCCAAACCAGTATCAATTCTCTTCATCATAATAATCACTTAAAATGAAGTTTATTTATACTCATTATCACTCTAGGTTCAGTTATACAACCATTGTATTATTATCAAAAAATTTAAACTGTTAAGCAAAAACGCATCAAGAGTTTTTATTTATATTTCTACCATTATACACTAAAAAAAATGTAGAAACAGGATTGAAGCGTGGTAGCTATATTCCAGTTATAACGATTTGAATGCATAATAGTCAAACTCCTCATTAGAATGCACAATAGTCAAACTCCTTATACTAAATGATTCATAAAACTCTTTTCCCTTCTGTAAACCATAAGACAAGATCCTTAAATTGAAAAAGAAAAAGAAATTAAAGGAATCTGACACTGCCATACCCTCATGTTTCTCGATATTTTCCATCAGTAGGGTTTTTACACGTCTAAAGTAGGCTTGTGATATGAACCTGCAACAGACATTAGAAGGAAAAAGCAATTATAAGTTCAATGACTAAAATTGAACAGTCAAGTGATAAGAAACGAGACAATATATACACAGAGTATACACTACTGTGACTTAACTATATTCCTTGATTGACAGTGGCAGCCTCTTCACGTGGTTTCTTCAACAAAAGGTTCCCTAGTTTGCCTCCCCAGAAAAGTAGTGATATAACCACAAATAACAGTGTTAATTAACATAATTAATTAAACCTCTCAAAAGACTAAACCTAGTATAGCAAAAAAATAAATTCTGCATGTACCCACTTACATGTATTCCTTAGGGAAGGTCATTAGCATACAGAACTTGATTCAAGTCTCTTATATTATAGAGACCAGGAGTTGTGATACAATATAGATTTTCTTTTTCCTCTTGAAAATTTATTTATTATAAAACAAATGCCTGGTCGGGAAAATATATCTAAAATCAATGCTAATTAAATTCGTATATGATATCAACAGCATACAATATAACACCATTTTTCTACTTGCCCCAAACCAGTAGCAACCATAAGTTCATCATCCTCAACAGATAACTGTTTCTGGGTAAATACCTATGAATCCAGTATCTAAAAAGAAATGAAAGACAACAAGAAAACATTCAGCTAACTACTTTCAAGTAGAAATATTTTGTAATATAGATTCAAACTTCTTAACAAATAATGACCTCCAGAAATTCTTCTATGAAATATTTTGAGCCGTGTAAGTAACTTGAGACAACAAACAAACAAAAAAGAGGCAAAATTCCAAAAACATGCGTGATAACATGAATCAGATGCAAACCAATCATCACAATAACTCAAATTCCAAACATGAAGGAAAAACACGAAACGAACAAACAACACTCCAATCAAGTAAGAGAAAGCAAGTAAGTAGTAAGTACCTAATGTCTCTCAAGGCATCGAATAACACGAGAGAATACACATTATCATCGTCCGCAAAGTAAACAATCCCATTAAGCCTATGGCGCTCAATGTGCTCCAACGCCGTGTTCCTCTAATGAACCCCTCTGCCCTTCATATCCGTCGAATTCTTCTTGCACACCAAATGCCTATACATCACGATCGTCTTTCGTAGCACCTCCGCTGCCTCCATCGATGCCGCGTTCATCTCCACCACCACCCACACCACCGGCAGCGGCACCAGCCGCAACACCTGCGCCAGCCTGTTCAGGAAAAAGAGGCGCGAAACAGAAGATTCATTTGTAGGGTCCATGGGAGGGAGATTCTTGGGAGGCACGGGTTCCTTAGGTTTAGATGGACGGGAACGAGTGTTGACGGAAGAAAGAGAGGCAGCAGTGGCGGTGGCAGTGGAAGAAGAAGAGAGACGCGGGTGCGTAAAACCCTAAGCCATGGTGATGAGGTTCCACTTAGTGAATCCTCATGAACACCTTCAAATTCTTCTTGGATCCTTGGAAGGAGTTCAAGGACGGATGCTCCAAGAAGAACCACTGAGACCTAAGCTTGAACAAGCTAAATCCGGAAGAAGATGATCAACCTAACTCTACAAAGAGAGGAGCTCAAGTAGGGTAGAGCAAGGTGGTGAGAGACTTTCGGAGGAGGAGATTTCAAATAGTGAAAACTCATTCAATTAATCCAAAAGTATCATACAAGTCTCGGTCATAGTGATTTATAGGATAAAATTAGGTTAAGGTGACCTTGGTACAATTTTTAAGAAACACCAATTTAGAGGCATAATCACATGATCAAGAGAAGAGAAGTGAATAGATATTTTATTGATATTCACAAATGTTTTTACAGAAAGATACACAAAAGGAATTTCTGAAGAATGGCTGGCCAGGGTAGGCTATATACATTAGGCTTAACAATTATATCTGTAATTGTTGCTCTTACGTTCCCCTAATTGCTTCTCACTTCAAAACTGGTTAATAACAAGATTATCATAGCAACCAATTATCTAACAACCCAAGTATAATCTAACAAATAAAATCTGCAATTACAATTAATTTTGCAAGAGAAGCTTAATCACATAATAAAGGTTGTTATCCCCATACACTAGCAAGAATCAGATCTAATAAAAATGTAATCCAGCAAAGCCCTGATTCTTTAATTTATTTTCGTTAAAAGTTAAACAATCTGCATTTGATGCATCCATTTCCAGTTAATATCACCAAACTGTACACATTTTTCTAAAGCAGAAAAAAAATTTAAATAAAAATTAGTAGGTGATATCTAATATCAATACATGCAATGCCAGAATAATGATTCCAGTTAATCTCTTCACAGAATAATGATTCCATCCTTTACAAAATGATAAAACTCATGAAAAGAAAATACATGTAACTATAACATAAAGTAATCATGCAATCATAGATGATTTTATTAAATATGATGAGATTGATAGACAGGACATTAAAACCAGAAATATTACCTATGTTACTCCATTATTTGCACAGAATTATATTTTGGTAGCAGGGGCACCTATTTGCTAGATATAGCATTCCAAAGAAAAATAATTAGGTAAGTAAAACAAAGAAAAAGGACATTCAATCAGCTTGAAGTTATTAAAAAAATGACACTTAATTACAATAATAGATTGTCTTTATTAAGATAAAATTATATCTAAACACACCTTTTCCATCTTTTTAAATGCAAGTAGTTGCTAATAACACAAGCATCATTAACTTGCCCCAAACCAGTATCAATTCTCTTCATCATAATAATCACTTATATTTCTACCGTTATACACTAAAAAAAATGTAGAAATAGGATTGAAGCGTGGTAGCTATATTCCAGTGGTAACGTTTTGAATGCATAATAGTCAAACTCCTCATTAGAATGCACAATAGTCAAACTCCTTATAATAAATGATTCATAAAACTCTTTTCCCTTCTGTAAACCATAAGACAAGATCCTTAAATTGAAAAAGAAAAAAAAATTAAAGGAATCTGACACTGCCATACCTTCATGTTTCTCGATATTTTCCATCAGTAGGGTTTTTACACGTCTAAAGTAGGCTTGTGATATGAACCTGCAGCAGACATTAGAAGGAAAAAGCAATTATAAGTTCAATGACTAAAATTGAACATTCAAGTGATAAGAAACGAGACAATATATACACAGAGTATACACTACTGTGACTTAACTATATTCCTTGATTGACAGTGGTAGCCTCTTCACGCGGTTTCTTCAACAAAAAGTTCCCTAGTTTGCCTCCCCAGAAAAGTAGTGATATAACCACAAATAACAGTGTTAATTAACATAATTAATTAAACCTCTCAAAAGACTAAACCTAGTATAGCAAAAAAATAAATTCTGCATGTACCCACTTACATGTATTCCTTAGGGAAGGTCATTAGCATGCAGAACTTGATTCAAGTCTCTTATATAATAGAGACCAGGAGTTGTGATACAATATAGATTTTCTTTTTCCTCTTGAAAATTTATTTATTATAAACAAATGCTTGGTCGGGAAAATATATCTAAAATCAATGCTAATTAAATTCGTATATGATATCAATAGCATACAATATAACACCATTTTTCTACTTGCCCCAAACCAGTAGCAACCATAAGTTCATCATCCTCAACAGATAACTGTTTCTAGGTAAATACCTGTGAATCCAGTATCTAAAAAGAAAAGAAAGACAACAAGAAAACATTCAACTAACTACTTTCAAGTAGAAATACTTTTGTGAGCTTCTCCACCGAAAATAATTCTCTACTTTGCTGAAAATAATTATTTATTTTTAAGCAGAGAAGCTCTCAAAAATTACCTCTAACTTATAGAAGTCTTAAAAGGGCTTCTCAAAGTTTCATCACTAGGGTTTTTCAACTGAACAAACCTCCCATAACCCAAAATCCAATCCAAACAAGCCCTAAGAAATACACCACCGAGGCAGAGTGTAACATCCCAAATTTTATTTAATGAAAAGAAATATTTTTTTATGTATTTATTATGTGAATAAGTATTTTATTTATGTATTTTACTATTTACGTATACGTATTTTACTATTTATGTATACATATTTTTCCTATTTATGTATACGTATTTTACTATTTACGAATACGTATGTATGAATAGTATTTTACTATGCAATTGCACAGTGAAGGGCGGCTGAAACGTGGGCTGCGGATTCTTTACGTTTCAAAATTTTAATTAATTTGAATATAATAATGAATAGTGCATAGTGCATAGTAATTTATAATATTATTTTAATGAATAGTGCATAGTGCATAGTAACTTCAAAAATTCTATAAATAGGGGCCTAAGGTTTTGAAAATTTAGAATTCTAGAGAGAAGGAAATTCTGGAGAAATAGAGAGAGAAAGTAAGAGAGAGAGAAGGAGAAAGAAAAGGAGGTTCTGCTCTAGTGCCTTGTTTAAGGAGAAAGAGGAAGAGATTCTGCCCTAATTCCGATTCCTTTTAAGGAAAGATAGAGAGGAGGAGATTCTGCCCAAATTTCTGTAAACCCAGGTAAGGGGGGA